AAAAACAAGAGGAAGAAATGCAGATTAAGCAGAATGCTGACTATGGGTATGAGAGAAGGAACAAGTTGCCTAATGAATTACAAAAAGGTAAGCATCACAGAAAATTTCAACCACTATGATGCAAGAATCATGGTAAGAAGCAAAAGTCACATAAACCCTTAAGACAGTGCTATATAATAGTATACCTAAAACATTTTGATCAAGCAGATTAAAAATTAAGAAAAAGCAGATGTTTAAGTAACCAAGAAGTTACATAATTACATTTGTGAAAAAATTATTTTTTGGCTGCCAAGTTACATTAGGTGAAGTGTTCAGACCTCCTCAAACTTGACACTTTTTCTACTTTAAAAGTCATGCGGTAAAGACAAAGACATAAGTGCTGGTATATTATACAGCCATTGCCTTGAGATTAAAGAGATGATACTGTGGAACACGAACATAACTGAGGTATCTGCTGCCAGCTCCAGAAAGTGCAGAGTTAGTATTGGGAGCAAAATGTAAATCACCTCTCAAGAATTAGTCCAGTTGGATTTCACAACAAATTAACCTAGTTAACCAAGACCATGTCATTGAAGTCTTGATTACAGCCTTTCAAGAATTCAATAAATTATCTAGATATCCACAAACAGCTGTTTATCTTGAAAACACCCAGTCACACTTTACATCTCAAGGATTTCTCAATGAAGTCTAGACTAATTGCATCCCTCTTTACGTCAAGAGAGACCAGATTGTCAGGCATGTTTGGAATTCTTGCTCTTAGAGTTCAGATTTGCATGCCTGGATGATAGGATAATATTCTGTATTTCCAGGGCCATGATGATACATTTGTCTATTGTACTGAGAATGTAATGCACTATCAAGCTCAAAAGAATCAAGTGCTTAGAAGACAGGCTTAAGAAGGCCATCTTACTGAAAGGCCTACAATAGAGAGACTTTTATGCCTGAGTCTCATGGGTAGTTGACACGAGAGCTTGGTTAAGTCAAAGACTACTAGGATTGATGGCAACAAAAGCTATCTCACACGCAGTGTTATGAGTAGTGATGGTGTGGTAGCCATCATAGTCAGGATGAAGATAGTTTAACTTTTCTACAGTGATGTTACAGATAGGAATATAGTTTTTCCATTTTGAGTCCAAAAAGTTGACCTGTGACATTTAATCATTCCAGTTAGAAGTAAACTGGATTTGGCAACAATTTTAATGAATTCCAGCAGACATACAGCTTCATGGTTAATTCTCAAGTCTCACAGAGCTTGATAACAGTACAAACTATGGTGAGCTGATCATCTTAACATAGGTTCTGTAACAGATCTACCACTTTTTGATGACCCATCGAGCTGAAGTTCCAGAAGCATTGATGACCTAAAAATGAAGGATTTACACTTCAGTTTTAGTGAATACTGATCTAGTAGCAAATTGTTTCCAGATCCAAAATCTGCTAGTCCTCAGTTACCAACAAGATTTTCCTGAGGCAAGAATCTACGTATTTTAACTCCAGAAGATTCAGATTCCTGAGTACCCTTCTCTGGACTTATTTTAGAACAAAAATAATGGGTAAACCTCTGTCCAATACTCCTTAGAGCAAAGTCTCCATTTGGCCAATAAAGCTTAAGTCTTTTTATTATATACTTCATTCCAAAAGTCTAGAACTCCAACATCAGCTGTGATTATTCCAGACATGCACTCAATTTTTTGAAATGACCCCCAACCTGGGGAAGAACAGGTAAAATAGGATCGTGGAAGGCTAATCTGATAAACATCCACAGTATCAATTTTTATACCCATGTCGCTCTGGAGACTCTCCCTTTTTTCTGTATCTGTAAGGGTGATTCCGGGGTTTGTACCAATCCCCTTTGGAGTACCCTCTGTTGTGATAATGTGCTTTCTGATCATGACTATAAAAGTATCGATGCTGAGTATAATATTTATTGTGATCTTTATATTCATTTTCTTTAATACTATTGTCTTCTGCAACAATAGCATTCACATCTTGTCCAAAAAGAGATGTACCATCAAAGGGTAAGTGTAAGATCTTCTCCTGGGTTTTCTTAGTCAGAGATGTGAGTCGAAGCCAGGCCTGTCTTCTATAGTCTACTGCCATAGCCATAACTCTGACCACAGAGTCCATTATGTCCCTGGTGGTACAAAGCTGCCAAAGTCCTGCATCCATGCCATCAGATATTATACACCTTGCTTTTCCACGATCAAACTCCGGATCATGAACCAGATCTTCCATGTCTTCCCAGAGTTTACGCTGATACTGAGTCATATAGGCCATATAGCTGGCAGCTCGGGCTGCAATGGAAGCAGCATGGTAGAACCTACAACCCATGACCTCCATTTCTTTTGAGGTAGAGTCTAAAGGAGATGTCGTGTTTCCTCTTTTGCTATGTTCTAATACATCTATAATGGGTCCCTCAGCTGGTGGATTTGGCTGGAAAGGAGATGTGTCCTTGGCCACAGGATATACCCTGTGTCCCATGAAGGAAGAAGGATGGCAATCAGCGGGGTCTTTAAAAACTTCAGTGGTGGCAATTCTCAAAAGTGGATGCAATGGAGGAACCAAACGTTTTTTAGAGGTCATCCAATCAGGCTTCCCCTCACATGTTTCAGCTTCAGACTGTAAAGTCACCCTTTTTATAACACCTCTTTGTTCCATTCTCTTCAAAAGACCTGTGAAACTAGATTGCATGGGGTCAGTTGGCTGCCCTTTGTCATCAGCTGATGGAGATTTGCAATCACCCTCTTCTTCAACTGTGGATAAACTGTCCTCCTTAGAGGTGGAGATATCCCAAGGAACTGACGAGTTCTCACTTGGTCTAGAATGATGAAATCTGAAACAACTCCTGGACTGCAGATCACGTATGACTCGGGACATTTCAGCCACTTGTGTCTGGAGATACAGGATTGCATCCTGTCCATTCTGTGAAGCTGAAGACATCGTGATAGGTAAATCTTCTTTGACCTCAGAAAAGGCCAAGGACTCTTGGGGGACCAGAAGTGATGATGAAGGCAGAGTCTGACAATTTTGTGATTTAGGTGTCTCTGTTTCAGAAATATTAATATCTGAATTATTTTGATCATTTTTCTGGTTCTCCAATTGGTTCTCAACAGAAGAAGGTTGAGAAACTATTCTTTGTGGACTGTTGGCACAACTCCCAGAGGAGGAGCTGCTGTCTCCAATGGGAAGAGGAACACTGCAGCTAGAGCACATTTCTGGGCGATGATTCTCAGAGGGTGGCACCTTAGATTCAGGCATTCTCTGGGTTATCCACATGAACAAGAAAACCAAGGAAGAAAAAAAATATGCTTTTAATACGTTAACTTTCAAGTGCAGAGATGCATGTCCAGTAAGTAGAATTCAAATTTTATATTACTATAAATAAGAATGACAGAAACAATCCACTATAGGTCGGCAAAAGATAACAGAAACCAAATGCACAGGATTTATTACCCTCAACCCCATAAAAACTATAAGCATTAATGCTGAACATAAAAAAAAAAAAGAAATCATGATTATAAATAAATCATTTTGGAGTTGGGGAGATGGTTCAGTATGTAAAGTGCTTGTCCACAAACATGATGACCTGAGTTTAGATCCCTAGTACCCACATAAAAGTGAGGCACACAATTGGACATCTGTAATTCTAGCACTGGGGAGATGGACACAGGCAAATTCCAAATTCACTGACCACACAACCTAGTCAATCAGTAAGTTCCAGGTTCCTCAAAAATAAAGTAAGTAAAGTAGAAAGCAACTGAAGAAGAGCCCTGATGTTAGCCTCTGGCCTTCACAAGCACACATGTACACTTGCACCTGCACACTCATTTGCACACATCCACACACACACACACACACACACACACACACACACACACACAAAACAAATTTCAGTCCTAAGTAGTACTATTCTCCTCTGCTGCTAAGATAAGATGCTGTGGTAAGGCCACTTGTAATAAAAACTAATAAAAGAAAAAGAAAGTCTGTTCAATATATAAAAGGCAGAGCTAGTGGAAGATAATGATGGCAAAGAAAACTTGAACAAAGTCCTACTGAAATGGAAAAAGAAACTTTTAAAACTCTCTCAAGTGGAGCCATTTTAAATCTCCTTAAGAACTGTTATTAACTCCCCATGAATAACCTTTCAGAGTTTTAAGGAACTTACATATTTGTTAACTTCTTACATCCTCACAACAACCCTGTGAGGTAGGACTTATTCTCATTTGAATTGAAAACCAAAATAAAGCAATACAATACTAAGGCTAAAACCAAGCAAGAGAAACCTCAAACTGAGCAATTCTGATCACAGATCCAAGTCTCAAGTCCCTACATCATATAACAAGATGATCCTGGCCATCATAAGCAAGCAACAGCCAGTAATTCTTTAATCCATCAAGAAAAGCTCATTAACCGAATTTTGGGCTAAATCAATAACAAAAGGAAGCCAACATTGCCATGAAGGGTTCAAACAATTCAACTCTCAGAATAAGGCATTGGTTTAAAGGTCAACCCTACAAGTAGCAAGTCACATGTATCCATTCTAAGAATGGGGAAGAGAAAAAGGATAAAAGGAAAGAAGACTGGAATCATTATCAGCTGTAAGTCTCCGCATTCCAATTCTTAAAGGATCTTCACATATCCTTTCTACAAGATAAATTTTCTGTGGCTACATAGTTCAAAAAGTAAATAATTCAGTTGTACAGATACCAGAAAGGAGGGAGGTGGGAGTAAGCAAAAAGCTTGTGGTTTTTAATTATATTTCCCTTTATCAGTTACTACTCTCCAGTGTTAAGTTTCCTGCAAATTAAAAGAGCTGACAGAAGCAAAAGACTCCTTGAACTACCGATGCTGGCCCATCCTAAGAAATGAACATTTTTCTAGAGCACTGATGCTCTTAAACACAGCCATTATTGCTTTCTATTTCAGAAAAAATAACCAAAACAAAACAAAAACTCTTAACTTACAAGTGAAAAAGTTTGAATCAAATGTAATGTACTTACATCACTATGAGAGGTACTAGGCTCTTCATCATCACTGCTGACCAGATCAATATATTCAAGAACAGGTCTTAATGGTCCTTCCTATAAAAGGAATTGAGGAAATTCATATCATGAACATCATTTAAACCAAACCAGCATTTTAAAAAATGTTCTTTGTTGGGATTGGATCTGAGAAGGAAGACATACAAGTAGCAGGAGAGAAAAAAAAAAAAAAAAACTATTCAGAGAACATTTTTTAATTTAAAGTGACTTAGAGCCGGGCAGTGGTGGCGCAGGCCTTTAATCCTAGCACTCGGGAGGCAGAGGCAGGCAGATCTCTGAGTTCGAGACCAGCCTGGTCTACAAGAGCTAGTTCCAGGACAGCCTCCAAAGCCACAGAGAAGCCCTGTCTCGACCACCTCGACCACCCCTCCCACCCCCACCCCCACCAACAGGCATGATGGTACATGTCTATAGTGCTAAGCAGTTTAAAAGCTGAGGCATGAGAACTACGAGTTCAAGAACAGCTGGGCTACTGTACAGCAAGTTCCAGACCACCCAGGCCTATAAAGTGAGATAGTATCTTTAAAAAAAACAAAACAAAAAAAACACCTAAAAGTTAGAGCCTAAATCCCCAGAGACACAGATACTACAGCCCAGTACATTTCAGCCAGAAAGAGTATCAACAGTTTAAGATACCCAAGTTTGTGAACACCAGAGTATATAGCACAAAACATGGAGATCTTTGACTAATGATTTAGCTTCATTTCCCCAAACTTAAGAGAGTAAAACATCAAACCCAGATTCTTCTCCAATCTTCCTATTCTTATGTCAGACTTAAAAGCCCAGATCTCAATTCTATATGCAAAGAGAAATTAATGAATAACATTACACTAGGAATAACATATTAATATAGGAAAACGTGGAAAGCCAGATAACTAATGATTACAGACAAATAAAATACAACTAATAATGGTGATGGTAAAAAGACTGAAATATACCTAAGATAATCTGGGCACAATGGGAAAAAATAGGTAAGAAAATTCAGATCTTATCCCAAGAACCAAAACCAAACAAAAACCCAAATCATGGAATTCAAGAAGATCAAGTGACTAGAAATACACTAATGCCAGCATAGCAGACGTGCACAAACAAGGTGCCTGGCCAACAACTAGGCACGCAGGCCTCTAATATGTGTATAAACATTTGGGAGTGAGATTCGGAAGTTGCCCACCCCTCAACAAGACTACTAAACTCTCAACTATCCAAAATGATTACAGATCAATGAAATGCTTCATGTGGGCAAAAACACTGTACATAGTACATTACTATGTAGTCTTTCTTAATGTAGTCTTACCAAGAATAGTTCAATAGTCTATAGTCTTACTATGTAGTCTTACCAAGTATAGTCAATAATGACTTTTGAAAGAGAAATGCTAAATAAAGCAATAAGCACATAAACCATACAATAAAAGGAAAAGAGAGCAACACAAAAAATAAAAATAAAAACTCCAAAATCTAAGATACGATTGGCATATGCCTATTTTTTTCAGCACTTCAGGTTAGTGCAGAAATTTGAGGCTAGGCTGGACTATGAAGTGAGAACTTGTCTCAAAATTTTAAAATCTAACACACTGGAATAAGAACAGGGGTGGGAGGTAGGAGAAAACCACAACTGATGCTAAGAGTTCCTAGAGTGAAGAAAGCTGCCTGTTGTAGATACAAGATAAGATCATCTAGTTCAAGATTCTCCTTTTCCAAATCGTCATCTGTTTTTCTCTTAAGTTTTAATAAACCATAAATTACCATTCTTCTGGATGGTGATCCAGACAGGTGATCAAGATAAACCAGTGAGCAAAACTTTAAGACCATGAAATGTAATAAAGGAACTGGAACTTTTGCTCAAGCTGTTAAGATGAACATCCAAGGGGTGGAACAAAAGAGGAAAATGGCACAAATCACATGTAACAGAGCTGTGTCATCAACTTTAAGACTTAAGCCTACCTATACTTCGTATTGACACTGTCCAATCATCCGGTCATACATGTTCTACTTTCAGGGTGAAAATGTATCTGCTTTCAAATAGTGGTATTACTACCACTATTTGGATTCTTCAAGCAATGTTATTTAGGAACTTGTTAAAATTATTATTATATTCTACTTTCTGGTTTCTGATATAGGGTCTATGTAGCCTGGGTTGGCCTGGAACTTTTTTACATAGCCCATTCTGGCCTCAAGTCACAATCCTCCTCAGCGTCCCAAATACAGGGATCACAGACATTATGGCTGTGCATAATCAGGCCTGGCTTTTAAGAACTTAATACTGTACACAGAAATATTAAATCAAGAAATACATGGAGAGGCAGGATAGTTAGCTGTAGCCTAGCCAGGCTAGAACACTTAGGCAATTGCAGGTCAGTTAAACACTATAGAATTATCTCAAATAAGCTGGGCATGTACAGCAGAGGCCTGTAACACAGAACAATGGCTACAAGTTCAAGGCAGAACTAAAGAATAGCTTGCAAGGGACTGGTGGTGGACATGCACAAGGCCCTGGAGTTCAGCTCCTGGTACTAGAGGAAATAAAAACACTTAAATCAGGTGTGGTAATATCCATCTAAAATCCCAGCATTCAGGAGGCAGAGACAAGAGGGTTATTAAGTTCCCAAAACAAGCCCAGGCAAAATGCTGGCTCAAACATAAAAATTTAACATTCTTAAAATGTATCTGAAGATATATTAGATGGTCAAAAATAAGAACAGATAGATAAAGCAACTACCAGAACTTTGCTACTAAATCATTTCACTGATATGCAACTGTTGTTGAACTATAAAAGGTAATTTTATATAATTTGTGGTAATTAAGACAAACAAATGAAAAATAACCGAGGGGGGGGGGGGGGGGGGGGGCTTAGTTTACTCATGCAACAAATAATTACTGACTTACAAGCAACAGAATGAGACAGGGAGAAGAATGTGATGATTGATTTTGACTCTTACTTGACAGAACTGAGAAGACCCACCCCTACTCTGAGCAGCATACTCTGAGCAGCAGCATCCTGTAGCTGGTAAAAGGGTGCAGAATTTCTGCTTCCTGCCTGTGGACACATGACCAGCAGCTTCTCTATTTCTGCTTTCTTCTCTATTGTGGACTGTGAGCCAAAATAAACCTTTCACTGCATAAGCTGCATGTCAAGTATTTGATCAAAGCAATGAGAAAAGTAATACAGAAGACAGTAGAGACTGAAAAGAAAAGCAATTATATGCATGCCAAAGAAAAATTCTTACATATAAGTGGAGTATACTTTAACTAATTTTCACTGCAGATACATAATAATTAGCAGTAATCCTTCTGCCTCAGCCTCCTGAGTGTTGTGATTACAGTGTGTACCATCACACTCTGGCTTGCCTTGAGATAGGATCTCTCTCTCTACAGTGCCCAGGATAACCAGGAATTCCCTGTGTGTTGTTTATATCAATAGCTACTCTCAATCTTCCCAGTGCTTGGATTTCAGATATTCACAGAGACCAAATTCCTTCTTATCTTTACTTAAACTGTTTGTCATACTGAATTTGAGGAATCGAAACATATAGTATTCCAGTTATTCTATTCCTAATCAATAAAATTTATTGAGCCCCATGCCAGGCTCGGTGCTAAACTTTCCAAATTATACCACCCAATTTCCATAACTGCTTTACAAAGATTCTAATTACTAAAATCATCCTATTATAGAGATAATAATACTGGAGTGATATCTACACAATTGGTGTGCAGTCACTATCAATTCAGAGATACTTTAAAGTACATATCAGATTTTTTAAAATTGCTGCTTATTACCTAGTTTTCCAACTTAACATCTTCATTCAGTAAAAAACAAAAAAACCACTACTGCCTGTATTATATTTCATAATGTTGCCCAATCAGATAGGTTACTAATTCCCCAAGAAGTGATGTTAATACAAATATGAAGAAAAACATTATCTCCTACAATATTTATTTCTACAATATTTATAATGAGTACCTATGCCTGTAATAAGAATAAATGCACATGGTCCTTCAATTATAAGTTACTTTATCCGAAGTTACACTACCAGTTAGTCTTTATCTCCTCTTGTACCAATACAAAATAAAGGATTCAACTCAAAATGCCATTACAATTTAGCAGCAGAGGATCATGAAGAATATTATCAGAACACAGAAGAATATTCTAAGTTTTAAAATATATTGCAATAAACTATTTGCATTCCTTTAATTAAATTCCAACTGTCAAAATGAAAACCACCAATTTTTCTATTTAGAAAGAGATGTTAATACATTAACTATCATCCACAACTGTTTTACTTCAAAGAAAGAAAAAGAAGTTAGGGTCATACCTCATTTCCGCAGTCCTGCCCATTTAAAACTTTCAAATGGTTTCCAACTGCCTACTTTTTGTTTCAAATATAGTCCCTCATTCAGGATCTGTCATACGGCCCATCTTTCTCTCTCCCACCTTAAAAACTAAAGAAACTATAAAAGCACCTCTCTCCAAAATTACACATCATGCTGTTCTTTCATTTTCATGCCTTTTCTCTTTCTATTCAAAATGCCATTTTAAATATTCAAATATCTGGGGACATGGCACTCAAGCAGAAGGTCCTAAAGTCAATCCCTACTACCACCCACCCACACCCATACAATTAATACAAATAATCAACCAGTATTTACAGCAAACTAATAAACCATAAAGTCTTATGCCTTCTCTGTATGTGTGTGTTCTCTGTGTGCATGTATGAATACAGACACGTGCCAGTACAGGCAGGCGCACATCAGAGCACACCTTCCAGGGTTCTCACCTTCCACTCTGCTGAGGCAGGGTCCCTCTTGTTTCTGCTGTTGGCTGTGAACTTGGGATTACAGACGTTCAATTGCCATCACATCCGTTTATTTATTTAATTTATAATTTGTAATGGGGGTTCCAAGGATAGAATTTAAGTCAAGTGCTTTTACTCACTAAGCCATTTCCCTGGACTTTTTGTGTCTTGTCTTTTTTTTTTTTTTTTTTAAGTATTCTGTGCTTTTTATAAAATTTTCTATTGAGGCCATTTTCTTCTATCTCATTTTTTCACTAAAACACTGACATTCAAGGATAGGACATTTTTCAATCAAATATATAGGTCTAATATTAAGAACATACAACTTTGCACATTCTAAGCTTTGATACTGCTTTGTTTAATGAGTGATTTATAGGTAGTCTAAGAAACCTAGTCAAAAGATGCTTCTGGTCAATTAGAAAGATGGCTGAGTGGTTAAGCTCATACTGCTTTTCCAAGGGACCCAAGTTCAGTTCCCAGCAACCATATGATGACTCAATACCACCTGTAACTCCAGCTCCAGGAGTGCAAACACACTTTTTCTGGTCTCTGCAACTACACCGATGGCAAAGAATTACACACACACACATACACTCGCAGTTTTAAATACATAATTTTTAAATAATGTTTTCTGCATGTGTCCTTCCTTTCTATTGCAGAAAAATGTATTAACATTCAATCTGGGTGCTCACGTTTATAAAAGTATGTTTTGAAATTCTGAATCTCTTCAAAATTGTCTTGTTATGAAGATTATAACAGGTTCCCAGCAGTTGTATGCTGTTATATTTAAAGTGGCACTGTGAACAATCCTGTTAGTAGTTACTTAGCTCAAATTTTTTTGGAAGTAAAAGAATTAAAGATGTCCCATTTTGAAAGAAAACATGATTTACAAGTTAAATAAATGACCACATTTCTAAACAGAAAATGTAATTAATTGACAGGCAGAAACAAAAAGTTCTTATCAGTGTTATTCTTTTTCTTGATTTAGGCACTGTCCTAATTTGCTTTCCTGTTGCTGTGATAAACATCATAACCAAAATCAACTTGGGGAGGAAAGGATTTATATTATCTTATACTTCCAGGTCACAGCTCAGCTCTGAGGGAGTCAGGCAGGAACTTCAAAGCAGGAACTGAGAAGGTATGCTCTTACTGGCACTTGCTCAAGAGCATTCTCCCTTCTCTCCCCCCACCCCTATATACAGCTAGCTTTTATATTCAGCAAATAACCACCTGCCTAGAGACATACTACTCAGGTTAGATTAGGCCTCCCTTCATCAACCAAACATCAAAAGAATGCCCCCCACAGTCATACCCACAGGCCAGACTAATCTAGGCAATTCCCCAACTCAGGCTCCTTCTTCCCATGTGACTAGTTTATGTCAAGTTGACAATAAAAACTTACCAGTGCAAGCACCACTTATAAAATTGTATTGCGGTGAAAGGACTGGAGAGATGGCTCAGCACTTAAGAGCACTTGTTGCTCTTGCAGAGAACCCAGACTGCATTCCCAGCAACCATGTGGTAGTTCACATTTGGGTCCCAGCAACCACACCGTGGCTTACAACCATCCACAACTCTAGTTCTCAGGAGATCTCCTCTGAACTCTGTGGGCACCAGGCATGCAAGTGCTGCTTGCTACACATATATACAGGCAAAATAATCATACACATAAAATAAAGTTTTTAAAAAATTCATTCAATTTATTACCTTTGCAAGTATCAAACAAGGGTACCTCCCTGAATATTTCAAGAAAAGTTAAACAAAAGGATTCATTTTCTATCTTCAGATCTATATTACTACTTTCTTTCAGCATGCTGTGTATGGTTTAGTCTGAGACGCAGAGTCTCCTGTTCAATGATAGTTTACTCCTGTGCAACTTTGTCATACATAATTTTGTTATAAATTACAAGCTAACTGGGTGGTGGTGGCACATGCCTTTAGTCCCAGCACTTGGGAAGCAGAGGCAGGGGGGGCTCTGTGATTTCAAGGCCAGCCTCCTCGACAGAGGGAGTGCCGGGACAGGCCCCAAAGCTACAGAGAAACTGTCTTGGAAAAACCAAAATAGATAAATAAATAATAATTAAATAACAAGCTAATAATCAAAACCAAGCTAATCAAGAAGTTATAACATAGTTTGTACTGAAACACTCAAGACAGAAAACTGGTTTTCATCTTTACTAGATAAGACCTACCAGAGAAATAGAATTGTGTCACAAAGAGCACAAAGATTGTTTCTGGAGACTTTCGTCCTTCTGTAGGGAGACACTCTAGCCCCACCCCAGGTAACCCGTGAGGGCGGGGTGAGGGGAAGTCTGAGGGACCACGGACACGTGGACCCTCCCTTCTTCTGGCCCTGGTCCTGGCTCCCTCTTCCTCGCTTTGGCCTGCGCTTGGCTGGTGTATCTGAATAAAGAAGTGTTTGCCCGATTGACTGCTGAGTGATCACTTAACATCCTTCCTTATCGGAAAGTCTAGAACTTCCTAAGTAAGCAGCTCAGACCATACTCCAATTCAGGCTCCTTCCACTATGACCTCCCCAGTGCAAGATTCTAAATGTATCTTAAAATGAAACTATCACTAATCATAATTTAAATGATAGCACTTACATGCTCAGGCAAAGATCTATATACATTATAATACTTTATTCTTGATGCAAAGACAGAAGTACCTTTGTACATTTAAAATAAAATGTAAATAGTACTTTTAAAATTCGTATCAACAAATACCTGAATTAACTAGTTACAAGCTATGTTATTTTATTTCACAAGATATAAAACAAAACATTTACCCCCACCCTGACAGGGTATCTCTGTGTAGACCTGGCTGTCCTGGAACTCACTTTGCAGACCAGGTAGTCTCAAACTCATGAGACCCATCTGCCTCTGCCTCCGAGGGGTGGGAATAAAGGGATGTGCCATCACGTCCAGCTACAACTTACTCTTTGAACCTTACTCTTTACATATTCTATCAATTTCTTAAAAGGCCATATTTTATAATGAAGAGTTACTCCTTTTCTCTTACATGAAACATCAAGGTAAATATTCTGTTCATAAAAACTGTGATTCAGGAAGAATCTGAAATATTGGTCCTAAGGAGTCACTAAAACCTTTATTATAACACATTCATTACCAACATTCTCCTTTCTCCAAAATACTTCGGTTTGCTATGAAAAAAGGAACAAGACACAATGTATCTGCATACCTCAGTCCAGATCCTCAAAGTTGAAAATGAAAAGGACAGAGTGAAATGTGCAATGGAAAAACTGCCAAGAAAATAATTTTATGAGGACTTCCCTCAAAACCCCACTAAAACACCATACACAATGGATTGCCACAATGGCTCAATGTTGAGTAGGATCTTCTTCACAGATCACTATTTTATAGTTAGCCCAAACTTCCATATCCATATCAGGTGAACAATAAAGAACTATACAGTTTTATAATAGGCTGTAGCTAACTACAGCATTTCAGGAGAGCTGTAAAGAGCTGTAAGAGCAGGGACATTCTCTGGCTAGCTACTACTTTAAGAAGAGCCCAACATACAAACTTAACCACAGGTGAAAACCACCCAAAGCCGTTTGTCTTCCCCTTAATCATCACTTTATGAAGGTTGAGAGATCCAAATGTCCCAAGTTGTATTCCAAAATGACAATACCTAGGTTCCGCCCTGAAGTCCTGATTCAACAGATCTGGAGTGGGCCCAGGAATCTGCCTGCTCACAGTTAATGCTGGAAAACTACTGTCCCCAAAGGAATAAATTTAGAAAAACACAGCAATGCTCCAGGTGATGCAGGACTCCTCATTGTGACCAGCAATTGTACTGTGCTGTAACAAAATGACCTCAGAAATTAGGGACATCCTCAAGCTATCCTAGAAGATATACCACACTAAGATGCTGGGCTCCTCTTTGTTTGTTGTTGGTTGTTTTTTGATTTGGGGGGGGGGGGGGGGGATTCGAGATAGGGTTTCTCTGTGGCTTTGGAGGCTGTCCTGGAATTAGCTCTTGTAGACCAGGCTGATCTGGAACTCACAGAGATACGCCTGCTTCTGCCTCTCGAGTGCTGAGATTAAAGGCGTGTGCCAAAACCGCCCGGCAGACGCAGGGCTCTTTATAGCCCTTTCCTACTTCCTCGACATTAACTAGTCCTCTGTATATACATTTGGAATGCATTCTTGCCTCATTTCAAAACAAAAAAACAAAAAGCAGTCTTAAGAGACCAGACTTCAGTCCCAAGAACAAAACGGACACACTTAAATAAAGATCTGGGAGGGGCCATTGCATGCATAACAATTCTTCAGGCCATCCACTTTGTGATGCCTACTGTAATTGTTCCGGTATCCCTTCAGGTAAGCATCCAAGCATCTTTTCAGGTAAATGTCCTGTTCACCATTGTGTGGCAGCTATTCGACATTCATGACTATCTGTTGAGTGATGAATGTATGGTGAGGTTTAATCACACAATGGCTTACCATACTCTTTCAGTCCAGAAAACCGCGATTGTCAGCCTCTACTTACACTAACAAACTGAATGTCATCTTCATTTTCATCCGTTGTTGACTCAGATGCCTCAGGCCCAGCTGGTGGGGCAGATTCTATTATCTATAAACAAAAGCCAAAACACGCTTATCTACGCGGTCACACACTCGTAGAAGAAAAAAAAAAATTTCTCCCCCCAAAAGAAACGAGTTAAGACAAAAGCCCCAGAGGGAACAGCGCGCATCACGCACAAATCCGACTCACAGAACTGCATGGAGGCGGGTTTTGCTAAGGCGTCTCGGAGCTGCAGAGACCTAGCCTTCCCAAGCGAGTTGCCACAATTCCCCTCCCCGCCTTCTCCAGGTGCAGGGATGCAGGCTCTAAACCTCCAGGATCCGGGGATTGCAGGCT